AAAACAAAAACTTACAAAAACCGGAAATCAAACACGGGGAAGGGATGCCGCTTACAGTTCGGTCCGCTGTTCTGTCACGGTGACACACACACGAGGGACGAGGAGACGCTGGAGAATGCTTTACCAAGACTTTATTTGCACCAAGGGAGACGAACACAGGAAGACGTTCACACGAAGACCTTCAACAGCGGACAGAGAACTAGGGACTGGGAACACTTTTTATACACACAGGAGGAGGGGCTGACGAGACACACCTGGGATCAATGGAAATTAAACATGGGAAACACCTGGGAAGAAATCAACTAAATCAGGACAGGAACAGGAAACAAACCAAATATGGGCATCGGAAGGCACATGGGGAGCAAGACACACACAAAACATGGAACAGAGTCTGACAATAGCAATGCCCTGGCAACCAATAACAACACTACATTAGTAAATATGTGACACTTAGAATAGAATCAAAATTGCAAAGCAACAACCTGGAAACCACACACTTTAGCATAACAACATGCTACAAATATTCCAAACACATAAGCAGCAACATAGCAACACCCTGGCAACCACCTAAAACACTTTAGGAACAGTGTAGTCATGTACCAAAAAAAATAAGATTAAGCAATTACACAGCAACACTTGGCAACCGCACCACAACATTTTAAATGACTACATAGCAACATTCTAAAACACTTCTGATCCTATAACAACTGCATAGCAACACTTTAACAACCACCCACAACACTGTGCATGGCAAAAATCTATTCAAATATTCATAGCCAATTTGTAGCACAACATTTTAACAACTGCACACAGCATTCTAAAAATCTTCTGAACACATTAACAACTGCATAGCATAACCCTAGCAACCCCCACAACACTTTAGGAAGTGCATAGCACAGTGCAAATATTGATAGTAAATGTTCAGAACACATTAGCAACTGCATTGCAATGCCTTAGCAAACAACCCACAACAGTGCATTAGCATAGTGCTAAAACACTTAGAGCAGACTCAAAACTTCATAGCAACACCCTGACAACTGCTCACAAAAGTCTAGGAACCACTAAAAACACAGAAAAAGCAAAATATCTAATCAAATCTTGCTGTGGAGGAAATATTCTTATATAGGCATAAAAGTGTCTGTGACAGTACATCAAAATCTTTTATTTCAAAAGAACAAATGATCTATTATATGTTCTCTTACATCAACATTATAATGCTGCATTTTTTTCTCTCTGTAATGCACACTAGCTTCAACCAAGTTTCTCTGCTCTAAACACAAGCCCCCTCGGTCTGCGGTGCCATGACGCCATCTTGGGTTTTATGGGTTATCAATCTCCATCCACAAGTAACGTCCCAGATTAATGACCTCACTATTGTGCTGTCCCTCTCTGATTACCTCACCATGGCCACCCATAGCAGAGCCATTTGGACATGTGGGAAATTGACCCCTGGCCCATCATGACTTCAGTAATGATGAAACCAAACAATAGTATGAGAAATAAAATGAGAGATGGGAGAGAAAATGAGAAAATGGAAGCCTCGTGAGGGACCGGTTTTGTAATTCTGTCCCGACGAGAGCAGCCAAGGGATTCAAGTCGCAGATTCGCTTAAACACTCGCGAAATAAAAGATTAACTAAACACGCTGGGTTCGTTTTGTGAAGAGCTTAATTACCGTTACGTTTCATTTCTGGATGACTCTGCAGCTGTTTGAACTAATTTCGATGAGGAAAAGAGGGAAAGGCCTCCCATTTAAAAGACATGAAATGGCATTCGCAATGCGTTTAACCTTGGTAATGTGACATATTGAAACAAAATACGTATTCAGCTGGAAATAATTTGGGATATACTTGAGTTTATCTATCAGGAGTTGCTTGGATTGTAAAAAGCAGAATGTGAATTTAACATTAGTCATTTCAGAGGTAGATAAAATCAATGAATTATCTTCAGAAGATGTAGAACTCTTTGCTATAAACTTGCAGCGCAGTGAAGTGATTTCAAACCTTGTAGATGTAGACGTAGATGTGCCAGCCGGCCTTATTCCTCCGGTTGTCCGCATGTCTTCACGGAGCAGGAGTTCACTAGGGCTGCTCAAGGACTGATGTGACGTGTTGGCAGCAATCATGGTGTGGGATTTACCACCATCAGAATTGGTTGTATCAAGTGGAAGCAATCAGAATCTATGCCACTCTAGGCCTAACAGAGTTTTTATTTTTTTTGTTTTTTCACAAGATTCCGGCTTTGAGAAAGGTTGGCGGGAGTCTAGACTAAACCACTGAAGTCAGATTATTTACACAGAAATTCTGGCATTTAATTGATTCAGAATTGATCTGATATGATATGCTCAAATTACTCCAACTAAAAAAATATTACATCATTGTGATGAGTACATAATTACATAGACATACTAAAAAGTGGCTTTAGAAGACAATATATTGATTGTTTTATTTCCATATCACTGAACATCAGCATATAACTGACCTTCAGTCCACAGCAATCCATTTAAATGAGTTTGTCAGTATGTCCAGAGGCCGGTCACACAAAACATGTTCTTACGTTCAAAATAAACAGATGAAGGACAATAGAATGCAACAGAATCACAAAAAAACCCAACCCGATCTCATGAAAGTGCGTATAAATAGTACGCCAAATAAAAACTAAAACTTGTGGTATTGATACGCAAAAATGGACTTTATATGCTACGCGATGGGTAGGTTTAGGGTTGTGGGGTAGATGTGTATCATATGTACGCGAAAACTGCGTATCATATGCACGCCAACAAATTTCGTATCATATGCACGCGAAAACTGCGTATTATATGCACGCCAAACACATGTGTATCATATGCACGCCAAAGTCCATTTTTGCGTATCAATACCACGAGTTTTCATTTTTATTTGGCGTACTATTTATACGCATTTTCATGAGACCGGGCTCAAAAAACCACAGGAAAAGTAAAGTGTCATCATGGGATAGGCAAAAACTGAAGAAAAAATTGAAGACAAGTCTTAAGTTCTTGTACAGTTTTACTTCTCAAGGAAATTTGAATGTTGTATAAACCTTTTACTGGAAAACAAGATATCTTCAAAAAATAAAATATTGTAGAGCCAGTTTTCAATTAGAAATTGCTATTACATTTCACAAACAGTTACAAAGAAAAGGCAAGCAATACATTGAATTACATTTTTTTTTTTTGTAATTACAGTGTAATTAATACACTGATTTTTGCAGTGAACTAGAAATGATATCTTAAAAACATTGGGTTTTAAGATGCTGCATGTTTACATAATAATTTGCCGAATGGATGCAAAATATGTCCTGTGTGGTTTGGTGAAGCAAGTCACCTTCAAACTTACTTCAGACTTGAATTGCTTAAATTGCACTAGAATTGTAATCAGAAGCAAAATTAATTGTGTTAACTTTTATGACATTATTTTCATAATAATTCATCAAAATGTTACACTGACAGCTGTAACAGAAATGTTTCTGAAATCCAACATGACATGAATTAATTTAGCGAACCTGTGGGATTCTGAACCCTGAAGGCCGGCAAAATTTCCATTACAATATGATGCAATCGCTTGGATCCAAAAGCTCGGATTTCCTCATCATTCTGAGCCACTATAAACTCAAAGGCTGAAAAACATGTTAACGACACAATGCTTTCAATCTCCTCCACACTTTTCTAAATGAAAGGGCACAGTTTGATTCCTGCATGACTGTTACGAACAACAGCCGCTCCCCATATCTCACTATCTCGGATATTACAAACTCATGGCAAACGAGATATGCTGGCTTCAGTAAAACAGACTGAAATGTTACCATTTCGCATTGTTAAAGAAAAGTTTTTCAAATGTGTGTTCGTGTAGCTTCAGATTGTAACTCTAAGTATATTCCAGCATGAAAACAGAGAGTATTTCACGCTCCCCTATTTCCCTCCTGCTGAGCGCGCGGCTTTGAGGAGAGAATTAACTGTGATAGAAGCTAAAGCCCGTCTTCGTAAAAAATCACATTTTGATCTTCAGTGTTATTGCCTGATGTGTCATGTAATGACGAATACTGACATAATTCTGCAACAATCACATATACAGGGGCTCTAAAATGTGTTAAGTCACACTTAAAATGTATGAATAGCATTGCATTAAATAAAAAATATCAATCTGAGTTGCAAGAACTAACTTCACAATAGCAATTCTCACAGTTACATTTAACCAACTGGTCCCAATGTGAATTTTAGTGGATGTAGGAAGCCAGTTCATCATATTAACTATGAACAAGTCTACTAACAACAACCAGAAAGTGTCTAAATACTTTTTTGGGGGCAGCTGTACGTAAAAATAGCATCTCTATACATAGTAGACCACATTTACAATAAACCATTGAGGTCTATTTCCAGCTATATTATTCTCTGAACATCTGTGGGATTGACTTCACAGACATTTCCCTTTGAGTAGCCTATATTGAGTAGTCGTTCATGAATGTCTGTAAAACCCATGCTGAGAGGACTATTAGTTCTGAAATATCACTCACTAGGATAATTATGGCTAATAATGTTGTCTGTCCTAGTTCCAGAAGTTTACCTGAATGATAGACGTGGAGGTTTTTTGTCCCATAAATCCACTCAGCAGGAGCAATTTCGACGGTTTCTAACGACTGGAGGCGTACGTTTCCTGCTGTCACCTGGATGTCTGCATTTATGTTTTTGTGGCGCAAGTAGTAGGCCTACTAATTTTGACAGCATAATGGGGAGATTGTCACTCTTGTTCATAAGAAGGATGTTCAATGCAGCTTTTAAATCTACATTCAAAGTATTGTGCTAGGTGTTTATTTGCTAATGATATTTTATTGGAACAATAAATTTTACCAGAGTGAACCTGAACTGAAACGAATGTGAAAACATCACATAATTCATTGAATGAATTAAACTGGATAAGTCGGGTAGTATAAAAAAGTATTACCTTGACATAACCGTCTTTGGACCTGATGGAGAAGTTTTTAAACAAGTTTCCCAAACATGCAATAGTGTAAAGAAAATATCTCAACAAACTGCTTTTGTCCCTTATTCCATATTTTAGACACTCAAATAGCAAAGCAATTTTGGTGGTTTGCAGCTATAGCA